CGCAACACGCACACAGAGCGCAACAAACTTAGAGAATCTGCACACAATGTGTTGATAGTTTTTGTAAGAAAGAGAGAGAGAGAGAGAGAGAGAGAGAGAGAGAGAGAGACAGAGAGAGAGAGTGAGAAAGAGAGAGAGAGAGAGAGAGAGAGAGAGAGAGAGCGAGAGAGAGAGAGAGAGAGAGAGAGAGAGAGAGAGAGAGATAGAGAGAGAGAGAGACAGAGAGAGAGAGAGACAGAGAGAGAGAGAGAGAGAGAGAGAGAGAGAGAGAGAGAGAGAGAGAGAGAGAGAGGCATGATGCACATTATGAGCCTACTACATGTGCGTGTATGATAATAAGTAATGCTTACAGGGGCACACGCTATTTCAAAGAACACGGTAGCAATGTAATGTAACTGCATGACTGGCGTAAAGTCTACGTGACGATCTCAACTACCATACTAGACAATACTAGACAGTAGTAGCAATGATTAGGCAATAGCTTACCTTTGGTCTGACAATATTGTCCAGAGTAACCTGATCTACATCTACATCTGTTATAGCCGATACAGGTACCTCCATTCAAGCATGACCTGCTGCAGCAGACTGCGGGATCTACGTAACACATGGTTGAAACACACGCGCATGTACGTGCCCACAAACACACCCACAAACACATGCAATGCAACATGACAAGGACACTTGAATAATCTGAACTACCGGTGACATGAAGGCAAGATATGTCTACTTCACTCCTGGCCTGTTTGTTGAGACGTGTAGTATGAACGGTGTTGAAAGAAATGTCCAAAGTTATTAGAGAGGAAGGAAACGTTCAAAATGATTAGAGAGGAAGGAAACGTTCAAAATTATTAGAGAGGAAGGAAACGTAAAATGATTAGAGAGGAAGGAAACGTTCAAAATGATAAGAGAGGAAGGAAACGTTCAAAATGATTAGAGAGGAAGGAAACGTTCAAAATGATTAGAGAGGAAGGAAACGTTCAAAATGATAAGAGAGGAAGGAAACGTTCAAAATGATTAGAGAGGAAGGAAAGAGGAAGATGAGGATTGCAGATACTAGTACTGTAGTTGGTTTTTCTCTGTACTTGTAAAAACTGCCGGTCAAACAGTTATACAACATAGTCTTCCAACAGTGGAGCTGCAACCCAAGGTGATGTGTGTATCTGCCCAGTAATTATGTTGGCGCGTTGCTTGTGTTTGTGTGTGTGTGTGTGTGTGTGTGTTGAAGGGGGGGGGGGGGGGGTGTCAAGTGTTCTGATAAACTTACAGAATGGTACAAGGTCGATCTCTGGGACGCCTGGCTCACTTATCCCAAGGGGCACTGGTCCGTCTGGAAATCGAGGGCACAGGCATTGTCCTAGGATGCAGATCTGGCCGTTTTGACACGCTGGTGTACACACTGATTGCAAAATGGAAATCAAAAGTAAACCAGACTATGATCAGAGAATATGAATTCCCAACACATCACCACACAACATAAACAAACACATATACAGTCGTCCCTCTCTAATCCGGCACCTTTTGCTACGGCATTTTCTGCTGGATTAACGAGGGTGCTGGATTAAGAAATCCTGCCCTCTGAACCGGCCCTACCCAATTGCATGCATGTATCATATGTATGTCAAAACGCAGGGTTTTTCCGTGTCGACCCAAGTATTTGGTGCACGGCTTTATATTCTCAATTGTTCTCCGGGAATATACACAGTGATAAAGTAAAACAGAGAACATGTTCACATGTACTCTTGCACACACACGCACACACACACACACACCTGAAAATTGGCAGGACACTACTCTTTGCTAAATAAAAATAAGAAAGTATGGTTGGCTGCCGTTGTCTCCTGGCCAAGCCTAGCCTGGCCTGGCAAGGAGTGCACATGTACGGTACGCGATTTATGACTGCCGGATTATGAAATCAAACTACGTGCAGTTTGAGCGATTCGTTTCAAAAAGTCACTGCCGGAGGCAGAATTCAAGTGCCGGATTAAGATGTAGGAATTGAACGAAAAAAATCGGTTTCGTCAGAAAGTGCGCCGGTTGGCAAGGGTTGCGGATAAACAAGTGCCGGATTAGAGAGGGACGACTGTAATAACCTCTACCAAATCGTCACGTTGCGTTGTGATGTCTGCGGCATTCATGCTCTTCATAGCTCTTATAAAACTGTTGTCTCCTGGGAAGTGGCGTTAACCGGGCTTTCCAGGTAGGCTGGGAATATGATGGAAGAAAGTTGCCTAGACACTCTTTTGTGCCAGCCGCAGAATAGAATTTGGGTCTTTGTGCTCGGCCCATACAACACAGCAAACAACAACAGAGTTGCATAGCCAGTGGCTGGCAATGGCGAACGGCTGTGTCTGCTTTGTGCAGACTCGCACCGAACCACCATGATTGTCATGGCTACGCACAAAAACACGTGCTTTCCAACTCTCTTACGACCGTTGGAAAGCGTAACTGCTGTTAAGAGAAGGATGTCCGAGTTTTTGCAGCAAAGAGACCATTTTAAAGTGTGTGTGTGTGTTTGTGTGTGTGTGTGTGTGTGTGTGTGTGTGTGTGTGTGTGTGTGTGTGTGTGTGTGTGTGTGTGTGTGTGCGTGTGTGTGTGTGTGTGTGTGTGTGTGTGTGTGTGCCATTGCTCGACCTGTGATCGCTGCATGAAGAGTCAGGCTGGTTTTAACCGCCATAATTGTACTCGAGGCAAACGGCTGCGAAAGGACCAGAGGACTAATTTCAACAACAACTAATCTGCCCATTCAATGCAGCCTATGTAGCGAACGATTCTCCCGCCCGCAGGACCTCCCCCGCCACCGAAGACAGAAACACTGTGTGTAGAACGGTCCCCTTTTCACCTCAATTACTCTCCTTGTTTCTTTTCCTTTCTCTCTGTTGTCTCCCGCTTCTGGGAGCGACGTGGCCATTTTGTGCCAGTTGTACATAGTAGCAGTAGTAGTAGTGTGTATGTGTGTGTGTATGTACGTGTGTGTGTGTGGGGGGGAAAGGAAACAGGTCAGACTCGCAGAAATTTCTTCCTGCGCGGTGTATCGCCGGAATCGTGAATTTGTCCTTGGCCGTGTTGTTTGGACCTGAGTAACCAGTCGTCGTGCGGCGATGGTGTAGTGTTATTAGCATGCTGTGCGCACTCCTCGTCGCTCGTGAAAGTACGTCTTGCGGAGCCCTTGTGGGACGTTCGGTGCCCACCCTCCAGCTCAAGATTGTGTTTTTCCTGATTCACGAAGGCCGAAGCAGCACGCGTACAGACGTTTGTTGAACAGAACATCATGTTCACATTTATTTTTTATATTGTTCCTTTTCAGTCGTTGCATTTTGTAATGGACCTGCAGCAGACTGTTCATCTGGTTTGTGATATTTCTTTCCTCTGTTGGTGAGTTCTTTTCCATCAATATGGCAGCTTGTTTTGATTTCCTTTTTTTTTCAATTCATTCTGCTGTACTTCCTGTTTTGTTTTTTGCGCCACTGCCCCTCACCTTGCGCTCAGTTCTCTGAGTGGAGGGCGGCGTGACCCCACTGGGGTGGCTGATTGATAGTAGTAGTGTGTGTGTGTGTGTGTGTGTGTGTGTGTGTGTGTGTGTGTGTGTGTGTGTGTGTGTGTGTGTGTGTGAGTGTGTGTGTGTGCGTGCGTGGGTGCGCCTGTGTGTGTTGGATAATGTGAATGGCTGCGATGGAGTGCACAAGTTTGTACCGTAGTAGAATAGTAAATGTCACTACGTGTCCATTCATGATATCAAGAGTCCATAACCCAAGAGTATGCAACTGTGATTATGGGTGCATGCGTGGCGCGCTGCCTTCATTACGTAACTTGCCTTCATCACGCTCTGAAAGCATGCATTCAAACCCACAATGTCTCGTCCGAGCCCATCCGTTTTTGCTCGATTTGTTCCAGTACCTACGCGATCTCTAAATTTTGGCGCGTGAACTCTTGTTCCGTACGAAAGTTCATTTCAAACCAGCGGGAAAATGCGGTGTTTGATTTTCCGCAGTGCGAGGACTGCAGCTGAATGATGTAATGAAGGCAGCGCGCCGCGCGGTTGGCCCATAGAAAAGAGATCACAGTTGCATACTCTTGGGTTATGGACTCTTGATGATATCAATGCAATACACAATATCAGAAGGGGTGTACATACTTCAACATACTACCCACCTCTAGTCTGGCAGTAGCCACCACTATACCCAGATCTACAGCGGCATTGTCCAGACACACATGTACCACCATTTGCACAGGACGGTAAACATGAGGGAACTGCGGAGCAGATCAACACACAGAGATTTGTAGAGGTTAGTTCGTTTAATCAACAACACACTATACAGTTTGCACTGACCTAAGCAGACCAGATCGTCTTAACACCAGCTTCAAGTCATCAACACAACATCAATAGAAAACTGGTATTTGCCAGCATACTGTAAGCACATTGACTGGGTCATAAAATATCAACTCAACTAAGAATTTATAAGAAAGAAAAAGGGCCAAAGAGCCAAAAGTTACGCTACAATGTCCACTAACACCACTAGTTACTAAACAATCAGCTCATGCGATAACATTGCACGACACTGACCGACGATACTGACGTTCTACAACTAACTGGTTCACAGCTCAAGCACATTTTGGATGCGCACTCCAACAGCCTTCCAACTTGGAAGGTTCTAACTTATAGAAATAACTGAAGAAGAGGACTAGCAAGATGCTGGGCCAAGCAACGGTACACAAAAACAAAGAGCTTGAGGCTAATACACTGTTCCAAAGAATAGAGGAGGTATAAGCGAAGAACTAGTTCAGTGGGTGTGGCACGATCGAATCCAAAAACTCTCTTCATTGCTATGTGACTAACGGTCACAATCCTAATAGCTTACCTTTGGTCTGACAATATTGTCCAGAGTAACCTGATCTACATCTACATCTGTTATAGCCGATACAGGTACCTCCATTCAAGCATGACCTGCTGCAGCAGACTGCGGGATCTACGTAACACATTGTTGAAGCACACATGCGCACATACGTGCACACAAACACACCCACACACACACCCACACACACACATGCAATGCAACATGACAAGGACACTTGAATAATCTGAACTACCGGTGACATGAAGGCGAGCTATGTCTACTTGACTCCCAGTGGCCCGTTTGTTGAGACATGTAGTATGAACGGTGTTGAAAGAAATGTTCAAAATTATTAGAGAGGAAGGAAACGTTCAAAATGATTAGAGAGGAAGGAAACGTTCAAAATTATTAGAGAGGAAGGAAACGTTCAAAATGATAAGAGAGGAAGGAAACGTTCAAAATGATTAGAGAGGAAGGAAACGTTCAAAATGATTAGAGAGGAAGGAAACGTTCAAAATGATTAGAGAGGAAGGAAACGTTCAAAATGATTAGAGAGGAAGGAAACGTTCAAAATAATTAGAGAGGAAGGAAACGTTCAAAATGATTAGAGAGGAAGGAAACGTTCAAAATGATAAGAGAGGAAGGAAACGTTCAAAATGATTAGAGAGGAAAGAAACGTTCAAAATTATTAGAGAGGAAGGAAACGTTCAAAATGATTAGAGAGGAAGGAAACGTTCAAAATGATTAGAGAGGAAAGAAACGTTCAAAATGATTAGAGAGGAAGGAAACGTTCAAAATGATTAGAGAGGAAGGAAACGTTCAAAATGATTAGAGAGGAAGGAAACGTTCAAAATGATTAGAGAGGAAGGAAACGTTCAAAATGATTAGAGAGGAAGGAAACGTTCAAAATAATTAGAGAGGAAGGAAACGTTCAAAATGATTAGAGAGGAAGGAAACGTTCAAAATGATAAGAGAGGAAGGAAACGTTCAAAATGATTAGAGAGGAAAGAAACGTTCAAAATGATTAGAGAGGAAGGAAACGTTCAAAATGATTAGAGAGGAAAGAAACGTTCAAAATGATTAGAGAGGAAGGAAACGTTCAAAATGATTAGAGAGGAAGGAAACGTTCAAAATGATTAGAGAGGAAGGAAACGTTCAAAATGATTAGAGAGGAAGGAAACGTTCAAAATGATTAGAGAGGAAGGAAACGTTCAAAATGATTAGAGAGGAAGGAAACGTTCAAAATGATTAGAGAGGAAGGAAACGTTCAAAATGATTAGAGAGGAAGGAAACGTTCAAAATAATTAGAGAGGAAGGAAACGTTCAAAATGATTAGAGAGGAAGGAAACGTTCAAAATGATAAGAGAGGAAGGAAACGTTCAAAATGATTAGAGAGGAAGGAAACGTTCAAAATTATTAGAGAGGAAGGAAACGTTCAAAATGATAAGAGAGGAAGGAAAGAGGTAGATGATGATTGCAGATACTAGTACTGTAGTTAGGTTTTCTCTGTACTTGTAAAAACTGCCGGTCAAACAGTTATACAACATAGTCTTCCAACAGTGGAGCTGCAACCCAAGGTGATGTGTGTATCTGCCCAGTGATTATGTTGGCGCGTTGCTTGTGTGTGTGTGTGTGTGTGTGTGTGTGTGTGTGTGTGTGTGTGTGTGTGTGTGTGTGTGTGTGTGTGTGTGTGTGTGTGTGGAAGGGGGGGGGGGTGTCAAGTGTTCTGATAAACTTACAGAATGGTACAAGGTCGATCTCTGGGACGCCTGGCTCACTTATCCCAAGGGGCTCTGGTCCGTCTAGAAATCGAGGACACCGGCATTGTCCTAGGATGCAGATCTGGCCGTTTCGACACGATGGTGTACACACTGATTGCAAAATGGAAATCAAAAGTAAGCCAGACTATGATCAGAGAATATGAATTCCAACACATCACCACACAACATATACAAACACATATAAAAACCTCTACCAAATCGTCACGTTGCGTTGTGATGTCGGTGGCATTCATGCTCTTCATAGCTCTTATAAAACTGTTGTCTCCCCATAGATTAGTTATGATCAGAGACATTGTCATATTGGTCTACTGTAGGAAGAGAGGATGAATGCGAAAACAGTACAATCTTCTGTTTGGTGCTCTGGTTATATGCTACATCATAGTAGACCTGGGAATTTGCGTTAACCAGGCTTTCCAGGTAAGCTGGAAATATGGTGGAAGAAAGTTGCCTGGACATTCTTTTGTGCCAGCCACAGAATAGAATTTCGGTCTTTGTTCTCGGCCCATACAACACAGCAAACAACAACAGAGTTGCATATCCAGTGGCTGGCAATGGCGAACGTTGGGCTGTGTTTGCTTTGCGCAGACTCGCACCGAACCACCATGATTGCCATGGCTACGCATAAAGACACATGCTTTCCAACTCTCTTACGACCTTTGGAAAGCGTAACTGCTGTTAAGAGAAGGATGTCCGAGTTTTTGCAGCAAAGAGACCATTATTTTTAAAGTGTGTGTGTGTGTGTGTGTGTGTGTGTGTGTGTGTGTGTGTGTGTGTGTGTGTGTGTGTGTTGGATTATGGGAATGGCTGCGATGGAGTGCACAAGTTTGTATCGTTGTAGAATAGTGAATGTCACTACGTGTCCATTCATGATATCAATGCAATACACAATATCCGAATGAATGTACATACTTCAACATACTACCTACCTCTAGTCTGGCAGTAGCTACCGCTATACCCAGATCTACAGCGGCATTTTCCAGACACACATGTACCACCATTTGCACAGGACGGTGAACATGAGGGAACTGTGGAGCAGATCAACACACAGAGGTTTGTAGAGGTTAGTTCGTTTAATCAACAACACACTACACAGTTTGCACTGACCTAAGCAGACCAGATCGTCTTAAGGCCGCGGTCACACCGAGCTCGATTCAGCCGTTCAGCCGAAACAAGCGCTTGTTTACGTCACTATTACCATGGAAATGGCTGAAAAATGTCCTACAAGCGACTTTCAGCCGTGGCTGACTCTCAGCCGTTTTTTTCCGGCTTGTTTCAGCCACAGCTTGTACAAGCGGCTGAAAGCCGAAATTCAAAAAATAATTTGAGTGCGCTTGGAGCTCCGGAGCACACCATGTAGCTAGTTGACATGATGAACTGATATTGATGTTCTTTCTTGTGTCCGTGGAACCGTGCTATCCCTGTGCCTTTGGTTTTGACCGTGAGTCTGTCTACCCCAACTACACTGTATTCAGTTTGATTTGGATTTTGTCCGACGACCATGGATTTCTGCCGCTGTGCCTCTAGACTGCTGCGTAGATTGTTGGAGCTGTGGTTTGAGGCCAAGACAAGGCACCACACTCACGACCGAATTCATGAAGAAAGCCGGGTACGAAGAAGAGAGTGGATTGCAACCGAGTTCAATAACGGCAACCGGCGGGGCAGAAAGCTCGACATCAGGAAACACCACCTGAACCATCGCGTCCATGCACACCGAACAAATAAAAAGAGCACGACTTCGCAATTCAGAATCCGGGCTTCCTTTGCTTCTTGTTCATCAAAACTGAACACTAGAACAAGTACAGTTTTCGATCGCGAACGTTCTACTCTCCAGTTTCTTGCAAACATTGGTGTGTTTCGAGATATTCAAAATTTGGCGGGTAAGAAAAACAAGCCATTCAAGCTTTGCACTCAAGGTCTGGTGTGACCGCGTCACAGGGATCACGCAAGCCAGCTGAGCGCCAGCGATAACAAGCCCAAAGTGGCTTGTTTTGGTGTGACCGGGGCCTAACACCAACTTCAAGTCATCAACACAACATCAAGTGAATACTGATATTTGCCAGCATACCGTAAGCACATTAACTGAGTCGTAAAATGTCAACTCAACTAAGAACTACTAGTACTAGTACATGTGAAATCCTGGAGTCCGGGAAGTCATTACACAATCAATTTGTAGCACCAGCTCTCAGGACACATCTTGAATAGTTACCGCTGGTCGTATCTCTATAGCTGGTCGTATCTCTATAGCTGGTCATAGCTCTATACCTGATCATAACTCTCTAGCGGGTCATAGCCATACTTATAGCTGGTGATAGCTCTATAGCTGGTCACAACTCTATAGCTGGTCATAATTCTCTAGCTGGTCATAGCCCTATAGCTGGTCTTAGCTCTATGTACCCTAATTATGTATGAGTGGCTGCAATGGTGTCTACGAGTTCTTAGAAAAACTATAGCTGGTCAGAACTCTGTAGCAGGTCATAGCTCTAAAGCTGGTCATAGCACTATAGCTGGTCATAGCTCCAAAGCTGGTCATAGCTCTGTAGCTGGTCATAGCTCAATAGCTGGTCATAGCACTATAGCTGGTCATAGCTCCACAGCTGGTCATAGCTCTGTAGCTGGTCATAGCTCAATAGCTGGTCATAGCACTATAGCTGGTCATAGCACTATAGCTGGCCATAGCTCCACAGCTGGTCATAGCCTTATAGCTTGTCGTAGCACTATAGCTGGTCATAGATCCACAGCTGGTCATAGCTCCATAGCTGGTCATAGCTCTATAGCTGGTCACAGCACTATAGCTGGACACAGCACAGTAGCTGGTCATAGCTCTATAGCTGGTCATAGCTCTATAGCTGGTCATAGCTCTATAGCTGATCATAGCTCTATAGCTGGTCATACTAGTGTAGCGTTGGTCACGCGTTGGTCTTGCTACAAGCTCAGCATTTGCGTATACGCTCAGCGTACTGTTCAATACGACGTTTGCTACCAGCTCAGCAGTTGCGTATACGCTCAGCGTACTGTTCATTACGACGTTCGTTCTACCATACAACGGTCGCATGACAGTACGTTGCTGTTTGTGATTATTTTCCATAAATTGTGTTTATTTTATCTTTCACAATGAGTTCAGAGTTTTACTGCTAAAGACAGTTTTGCCGTTCTAGAGAGAGAGAATTGTTAAAGGGGAAGTATACCCTAAAATCAAATTTTCACCAGTTGTAGTCTTCTGGGTGCTGAGTCGAATGGTCTTGGTCCGAGGAAGCTGCGACGCTCCCTTCCTACTTGAATCCCAATCGAACTCGCGCACTTCCACCGAAACTGGGTGACTGCGCCCTACTAGATGGGGATTTGTATGCAAAATGTCACTAAAAGCGCCATTTCGTTCTTATAAAAGCACGGATGACCGCGATTGGCCCATATGTTGTAGTCTTTTGGACGCTGAGTCGACTGGTTTTGGTCCGAAAAGGCTGCGATGCAGCGTTCCTCCTTTATTCCCAATCGAACATGGTTGAACAAGCGGTCACGTGCTCCTGCGTACACCAGTCACCTGGTCACCGTGCCTGCAGGGTACAACTTACTAGCCTGTTTGACCTTTTTTGGGTGCAGTCCTGTCACTCGAGTTGAACTCGAGTTGAACCTTGGTGTGAAAGTTGTCGCCTGCTGGCGCGGTGACCAGGTGATTTGGGCACCCAGGAGCACGTGACCGCTTGTTCAACCATGTTCGATTGGGAATAAAGGAGGAACGCTGCATCGCAGCCTTTTCGGACCAAAACCAGTCGACTCAGCGTCCAAAAGGCTACAACATATGGGCCAATCGCGGTCATCCGTGCTTTTATAAGAACGAAATGGCGCTTTTAGTGACATTTTGCATACAAATCCCCATCTAGTAGGGCGCAGTCACCCAGTTTCGGTGGAAGTGCGCGAGTTCGATTGGGATTCAAGTAGGAAGGGAGCGTCGCAGCTTCCTCGGACCAAGACCATTCGACTCAGCACCCAGAAGACTACAACTGGTGAAAATTTGATTTTAGGGTATACTTCCCCTTTAATAAAGTAACACGTTAGTTAGTTTCGAGTTGTTAGGTTGTTTTGCCTCCAGGCCCGCTACAAAATTGGTGGCAGAGGTGGGATTCGAACCCACACCTCCGGAGAGACTGGATAGCATAGCATTATAGCTGGTCATAGCTCCACAGCTGGTCATAGCTCTGTAGCAGGTCATAGCTCTAAAGCTGGTCATAGCACTATAGCTGGTCATAGCTCCACAGCTGGTCATAGCTCTGTAGCTGGTCATAGCACTATAGCTGGTCATAGCACTATAGCTGGTCATAGCTCCACAGCTGGTCATAGCTCTATAGCTTGTCGTAGCACTATAGCTGGTCATAGATCCACAGCTGGTCATAGCTCTATAGCTGATCATAGCTCCATAGCTGGTCATAGCTCTATAGCTGGTCATAGCTCTATAACTGGTCACAGCACTATAGCTGGACACAGCACTATAGCTGGTCATAGCTCTATAGCTGGTCATAGCTCTATAGCTGGTCATAGCTCTATAGCTGGTCATAGCTCTATAGCTGATCATAGCTCTATTGCTGGTCATAGCTCTATAGCTGGTCACAGCACTATAGCTGGACACAGCACTATAGCTGGTCATAGCTCTATAGCTGGACATAGCTCTATAGCTGGTCATAGCTCTATAGCTGGTCATAGCTCTATAGCTGATCATAGCTCTATAGCTGGTCATACTAGTAGCTCTATAGCTGGTCATAGGTCTATAGCTGGTCATAGGTCTATAGCTGGTCATAGCTCTATAGCTGGTCATAGCTATATACCTGGTCATAGCTCTATAGCTTACTTTGGCAAGAGCTACCACTGTAGCCAGGTCTGCAACTGCATGATCCGTAGCGACATGTACCACCGTTGGCACATCCTCCATAACAGACTGTGCATCCAATGTATGACAATCCATGAACATGAAGCACAGAGTAGAAATAAAACCTCATGTAGTTATGTCCTCATGCAGTTCAATGGAACATCAACTGAAAGAAACCCATACACCCCTCCTTTCATTCCATTTGGGAGCCACAACTAGGAAGACCATATCAATAAAATGTTGCAAGATATGGAATGGGTCCAATGCACAGTGGGGCAATTGGGGGAATTCCCCTCCTCTTGTAGCATTGTACAGTAAGTAGCTGGCAGTACAATCATGTAAATGTTCATGTTCAAGAACATGTTGCAGTCACCAGCAACAGCAACAGCAACAGCAACAGCAACAGCAACAGCAGCAGCAACAGCAGCAGCAACAGCAGCAGCAGCAACAGCAGCAACAGCAGCAGCAACAGCAGCAGCAACAGCAGCAGCAACAGCAGCAGCAGCAGCAGCAACAACAGCAGCAGCAACAGCAGCAGCAACAGCAGCAGCAACAGCAGCAGCAACAGCAGCAGGAGGAGCAGTGCTCTCATACATGTACAGCGTATGCTGTCATTCCGGCCTGCCTGTTTCAGCCCATGCACTCGCAGCTGTACTTCAGTAGTAAACTGTGCGGGGTACAGTCTGGCCGGCATACTCTACTTACCAGTGATAATTGTGTTGGAGCATGTACGGCCAGTGAAGCCAGGCTGACATAGGCATCTTCCACCGACGCAGAAGCCATTCTCACAACGAGGAGAACACGTACGGATGGGAACTGTAATATCATGGGAATATTATGTTGAGAATAGAGAAATAGAAAGGAAGTAGATTGCAACACGGATACATGGTTAATAATACTTGTAGTCATGAGTACGAGTCACTGTCCACTACTGTCACTAGATAATATGCCGTGAGAAAGTGTGACAACTATATATGGGCAAAATGCTGACAGATCACTGAGATGCTCAATGACCATGCTGACCCAGCACCTAGCTAGTTAATACATCTCCGATGCGCAAACCAACAGCCTTCCAACTCGGAAGTTTCATGGTTAGGGAAAGACGAACACAGAAATATCAAGAGAACGATGATTGTGAAATGCTATTTTGAAGTCCTATACCTAAAAGATCATACGTTACAGAGTGAAGTTCCTATTCATACATATCGACACACAAATCTCGCAGTGGAGCGACATAGTCATACATGCATGGCACAAGAAAATAATTATCACCTCGTGTTTGTGAAGTAAGGGATGCAATGTACCTCTGCACTCAATATGTCGTAATGACCTATCGCGTGTAGCATGGTGAGCGTCACTATCATTCTTCAGTGCGACTAGCCAACATGAAATTTACAAGGGCCTATACAACGCTATCTCGGAGTACATGTAGGTATTGCTAAACCACACAGGAGGCTGCAACTGCAACTGCAGCTACAGACAGTTCATGACTACTGGCAGAGGGGTACGGGGGCAGAGGGGTACGGGAGCAGAGGGGTACGGGGGCAGAGGGGTACGGGGCAGAGGGGTACGGGGGCAGAGGGGTACGGGGGTAGAGGGGTACGGGGGCTAGCAAGTCCAAGGTACTTACAGTCTGGCTCAATTGGACCAAGGTCTGCCAACAGGAAATATGCAAAACACACCGGCGTCAGCCATCACACTGCAGTCGTACAGGTGGTGAATATACAGATATATTTCAAAGTACCTAATGCACCTAATGTACCTAATGTACCTAATGTACCTAATGTACCTAATGTACCTAATGTACCTAATGTACCTAATGTACCTAATGTACCTAATGTACCTAATGTACCTAATGTACCTAATGTACCTAATGTACCTAATGTACCTAATGTAAATAATGTACCTAATGTACCTAATGTACCTAATGTACCTAATGTACCTAATGTACCTTATGTACCTAATGTACCTAATGTACCTTATGTACCTAATGTACAAGTCAGTTAGTCATTGACACGGCCAGGGGAGGGTAACCGTTTCTACTTCAAATATATAATTATTTATTTTGAATGTGATTGGTGTGCTATAGGAACCAGTTAGTACTAGAACTGGAGTCACCAGCTCATGTACCATGCGCTACACCTGTCTTCTGTTGCTATGTACATGCACATGTACATGTACATGAATACAGGTGTCCACGTGAGCAAGGATATACAATGTCATATACATGTACACGTATATGCATGTACACATGGACACACACCACCTGCACCATCACACACACCACCACCATCACTGCAAAAGCACCATCACGACCACCACCATCACTGCAGAACCACCATCACTGCAAAAGCACCATCACGACCACCACCTTTCCTGCTGTATTACTTTGGGTATGTACTCATTTGACTGCACCTTTTGTGGGTTAGTAAAAAATAAATAGCTGATTGGAGTGGTAGGTTAGTATTGTTCATACACTCACAACTGTCACAGTGTAATGAGCCATGGTGTACAGTGTCATAAGCCATGGTGTACAGTGTCACGAGCCATGGTGTACAGTGTTACGAGCCATGGTGTACAGTGTCATAAGTCATGGTGTACAGTGTCATAAGCCATGGTGTACAGTGTCATAAGCCATGGGGTACAGTGTCACGAGCCATGGTGTACAGTGTCATAAGCCATGGTGTACAGTGTCATAAGCCATGGTGTACAGTGTCATAAGCCATGGTGTACAGTGTCATAAGCCATGGTGTACAGTGTCATAAGCCATGGTGTACAGTGTCATGAGCCATGGTGTACAGTGTCATAAGCCATGGTGTACAGTGTCATAAGCCATGGTGTACAGTGTCATAAGCCATGGTGTACAGTGTCATAAGCCATGGTGTACAGTGTTACGAGCCATGGTGTACAGTGTTACGAGCCATGGTGTACAGTGTCATAAGCCATGGTGTACAGTGTCATGAGCCATGGTGTACAGTGTCATGAGCCATGGTACGTGGTGTACAGTGTTACACACCTGCCTAAGTGTACTAGTCAGGAGGTAGTCCCTGTCAAGATGACAGTGTCATGCCATCTGCTCTAGACGCTTCATTCTACATGACGTGTACACACTGAATACACGCGGCTTCAACGCACAGTGATCGGGGAGCTTAGAAAATACTACTTGTAGATCTACTGTCTGTCATTGTCAATCTACACACTGCGCATGTACTTGTAGACAGGTTGGTTGACCTTACCTATACTGCCTATGCCCGGGCCCTGAGCGTTTGATGAGTAGACCAGGCACGTCACCGTCATGAACACACAGGCTGCTAGCGTAACATTACTAACACTTGACATGGTTGGTTGAGCGTCTCAGCAAACCTCTGCTAAAGGTACCTAGTCAATCACTATGCAGACTGTCAGTAACCGCTGTGCACAATAATTATTATGATGAACACTCTATCTCGTTGACAGCCGTCAGCGCTGCTCAGGATGGAAAACTCTACCTAGACCTCGTCGTATTTCCAACCTAGCTATTCAACTGAACAAAACATTTGCTAAGGAAAGATCCCGCTCGAATTTATACTGCCGTGGCTGAATGCGCCAAAACTGTTAGCGCCGAGGTCAGCCAGCGCTGCAGCGTAGGCGGTCGGGTCGACTTGGTGGCGCGCTCGTGCGATGAAAGACCTTTGAGATGAATGGTACAATGTCATTGCGCTGTTGACCACAATGTGCCAGCACTGCAGATCATCAAGGTGACAAGATGTGAGAACAACAGCACGCCCAGGGCAAGTCGAACTCTCAATCTGTGGTGCAATATGCTGCCAAGGATTCTGCAATGTTCCTGCATTAATTATTATTATTATGGCAATCACATAATCGAAAAGGGCAGTTCAATACTGTCATGGAGTCCAGAGATCGATAAGGAACAACTGAGACTTGTTTACCGGTAGTGATTCATGCCAAGCAAGCAGTGTTCTGTTACTACTGTATACAGTCATCACTAGTCATGATGTAGCAGTTCCTCTGGGAGTTCAGCAGAGAACAACGTGCTTCGACGATTTCTGGCGTGGCACGATTTGGCAACGGTCGCCGAATGTTACAAAATCCTCCTGTCATTCATCACATTTCCAGTGCTAGGATAGTGTCAGTAGGGTTTACCGGGTGTTTGCGGCCGTTAGGCTCCGGCGGATTATGCTCGCGAAATCATGGAATTATGCTTTCAAGGATTCTCGCATTATGCTCGTAAAATCCTCATATTATGCTTTGGCACCCGGGGATACATGTATATATTATTCACTTTGTTGTACTTATGGAGCCTCAAAGTTTGGAAAATTGTCCTTTTTTCGTACTTGCAAGTTGCAAGTGGCCATAGGTACAACAAAATACAGGAGTATCCCCATATCAAGGTGTCCATGCATGTTAGAGATCAACATGGAAAAGAGAAAACATTACTTTTTCTATTCATCACTTGATTTCTTTTGTACTTCAGTAAAAATATTATTTCATTGCCAAAATAGTGTGAGTTACATGTACCTTTGAAAATTATCATCACGGTTCAACTCACGGTCTTCGTAATCATCATACTCGTCCAACGGATGTCAACCTCACCTTGCGAATAATCAGCTCATCTCTCGTAGCTCCACTTCAAGTCTCCTTCCATCATGACCGAACATCAACTATACATCAATTTCGAGCAATATCGATAGCCTGCAGTCATAATTATCATGACTGCTAAAATCCAGAGGTCATGACTTCGTAACATGCATAATGTACGAATGTAATGTACATGTAAACGGAGTTTTGCGGACTACCCGCCACTATCTCGTCCGCCCCGTGATACCTGATGAAGGCTGATTCACTCGCATCTTCTGCTACATGTACTGTGTCAGTGTGAGAAAGAACTTTGAAGAAGACGAGTTCGAGCGTACAATACTGTACTCGCACTGTATTGCCATGATTTCTTCCCTGCTTTTAATTGAAAACACTATCTGCATGACCTCCGAACCCTTTACCATGCAGACCACCAGCACTGATCAGGTGCATTGTACACAATAGTGTAGCCTACATACTAGAACTGTGGTATAATCGTGTAGTTATGCTCCTACCTCCGAGAGGATGCCAAATTATGCTCCAAATTTTCAACCACCATGCCAATAATTATGCCAGCATAATCCGCCGGTGCCTAGCGGCCGTCATGAGTTCCCTTCGGGAACGGATACGATAATTTACTTTAACTGGTTTGAGGGAAAGAGACAAACGGGAAAAGTCTGAAGAAAAAATTGACTGTCACCACCAGGACTCGAACCAGGGACCCTCGCTTGTAGCCAGCGATGCTCTAACCACTGAGCTATAATTTACTTATTTATTTTTTTATTTTTTATAGTGTCAGTAGCATAGTTGCCAGTTTGGTGGCATTGACCATGATCGACGTTACTTCACGCGTCCCTTTGGGAAATCTAAAGCGTAGTGTACTGACTCTGTAAAGAACAAAATCCTCCTGGCATTCATCACATTTCCAGTGCTAGGATAGTGTCAGTTGCATAGTTGCCAGTTTGGTGGCATTGACCATGATCGACGTTACTTCACGCGTCCCTTTGGGAAATCTAAAGCGTAGTGTAAAGTAACACGTGACATTAGTTATTGGCCAAGGCTCACGGGTACCTACACTGTACATCGTAACAGTCATCTTGTGCAAGAGTTAGAGTTAGGACCTTGGCTTCAGACCAGTTCAGACCAGTTCAGACTCAGAGTACGATTGTGTTCATCTACACGACCATGATTTTGTCCTGGGTAGGATGGAGGGCCTTTGAATTAAAAGGAATACGAGTCCACGGTGTACATCATAATACAGTGGTCCCTCTATAATCCGGCACCGTTTGTGCCACGGAAATCTGCTGGATTAGGGAGGGTGCTGGATTAACAAATCGGATTTACAGCTGCAATATGCATGAAAAGGACATTTTGGCTACTGAAAATTGTGCTGGTTTATCGAGGGTGCTGGTTTATAAAGTGCCGGATTAGAGAGGGACGACTGTACATGTACATACTGTACTCACAGACTCTACACTCGGGCGGATCGAGTTGACGTATTTTGCCACAAAGACCATCACCATAATCACTACCCTGCTTAGATCTACCAGTACACGCAGAGATGCACATTGCTGCCAATGCTGGCAGGCTCACATTTACTTGTATGTGTATGTGTGTTGAACTTGAAGTAAAAAGTACCATGTGCCCATGTTTCATGGTTCTTGTCAGCTGTATGTCATTGAGAGAGAGAGAGAGAGATAACAAACTTCACAACTCACACAAGGGCACACGCTGTGCATGCTTGACAGGTTCAGCACTTGAACTCATTGGGCTGGCTCCTGGCAGTCCTCGCAGTTCTGCCAATCTTGGACTGGCAGGACAGTCTTGTGGAGCCCAGGCTTTCAGCTTGCCAGTCCACTGGACCAGCGTACTAATGACTCACAGATCTAGCACTTTCACAATCACATACCTTTCATTTCTCAGCACACTACAATTGCACAGCACTTGATTAGTGCAATGCAATGGAGCAAAAAATAACATGTACTAGTATAGTACAGTACATTGTACTTGAAGTCCATGAACTAGTACAATGTACAGTATGCCTATCTTTGAGTTTGATCTCTGGTCAGAATAGTGGCGCCATCAATGACTGTCATGTACATGTATTGGAGACGTACAATGGGAGAACGCCGATACGTGCTCGCTGGCAGTTGTCTACGAGCCATGCAATCAGACACAGTCTAAAGACAGTAGTCTGAACGAGTTTGTAATTACATGTATAACAGTTACTATGGAATGTTGGCCACACTATTGCAGCGCGTGGGTGATTTTAAAATGCGATATTATCACCACCAACAACAGTTACATCCGAATTCGGTCTTTGTTCCACAGTCCGAGCTAGCTGTGGCCCACAAAATAATCTGGCTCACACAGCTCAGCCCAGTGTAGTGTCATGTGTTCTAGGTTCTTTGTCTTATCGTACATGTACATGACTGTACAACAGTCAGAACTAAGTTCTTGGCTCTCTGGTTGCATGGTGTGGTTAGCTGACTAAAGACTAAAGTAGGAAACACTACACCCAGCATCTCAGCCACCTTTAACAACGTCTACAGTAAACGAGCAAAAGTTCTAAACTAGTAAAGGTCGCTGAGGTATGCATTAAAATTTCAAATTCATGGTTTCGACATCGCTGCTGCACTCCAGTTACAGTCCCCGACGAGCACCATAATGGCAGGATGAAACAAGGACGAACGTGACAAAGCATGGCACTCTTCTGATCCACAATCTCGCCTATCAACACGTACATGTAAGGAGACTAAAGACCAATGTCATAAGTCGCACGCCATGTTTTGGTTGAAAAAAGGGCTAGTCACGACTGCCTAGCCTGCTGCAAAGTAACACCCAACACGCAACACGTAACACCATTTGCCCACAACAGTTCTAGAACTTAGTAGAAGTGGAGAAGACTCGTCGTTACTGGGCAGTGCTAAGGCAGCGGGTGGTCTATGCATGGCCGGTGGTGCTGGATTCAGTGGCATAGCGGGATTTACCAGCTCCTGGCATACATTGCAAGTAATTAGCTCAATTCTGTGCACTTCGGTTGAGATTGCACAAGCTAGTTTCGAGTCCTGGAACACCTTTACTCTTGTACTGTCAAGCTGAGTCCTTCAGCACCAAAATGGAGGAACAATACAAATGTGATGTAAAACAACATACACTGGCCATCCGGCATCCACACAAGAGAGAGGGAGGAAGTTGTGTTGCGACTTCGAGTTTCACGTTACTCTAAAACTTAAAAGTCACGATCATCAGGTGTATGCATTGTTTATTTTACGGATTTCCCAAAGGCTGCTCGCCTGTCGAAGGGGTTTCTTTTTCTACATGTACATTTAGTTGGATACACTTTACAAAGCGTTCTGTGGTGCAAGCATTGACCCTGGCCTAGGCAAAAGCGGTATATTGACACATAGCCGTCACTGCTTGTCAGTACACTGATTTTTAAACGATTAATTGGCATGGTATAATGCTGCATGTCATCTATTGGCAGCGTATCATGTCGTTACATGCTCACATAGCTATTGGAGTTTAGTGTGACTCAGCACACAGCAATGGAACATCCGTTTAGCCACTCTCCCCGTCCCCAGGGCCACTCCTCACTCCCCAGTCCGCAGTCCCCACAATACTTGAACCCAGTCACGTCGGTCATGGTCGGTAAGATGTCACTGGTGACGCCACATGTTCGCCCACACTCTTCACACGACTATACGTTACCAGCCCCTTGGGGATACGCTCTCTTGGCTACCTTGGGACATATTCAGCCCATTCTCATTGACATCATTGCATGAAGAGACGGTCTCGTACATGTTGGTCCGTCTTATTTCACTACAGGGGTCAACAAACTCTCCTCCTCCTCCATGCGCTCTAGAGCCAACCATTGCTACCCTCGGTAGCGAAATAGGCCTGGGAGGCGTTATTTCAAGAGTTGAGCTAGTACCCAACTAACCGTCCCATGTACAT